AATCCTCAGACACATCACTGAGCGACTAGTAGGTTACTTTCTTTCTTCAGTTATCTTTATAGCTTTGCTTTACACATTCTAGACTGTGTCGCACTTTGCAAATTTATATCTTGTGGAACCACTTAAAATATCTTTGGCTTTATTAACATAACTTTCAATGATCATGGAAATCAATTCTATACTTTCATCTCCCTCTTGAACTGTGATATTCTTGCATTTTACATTACTTTTATTATTTTGTTTTCTTTACGCAATAATTTAACATTAAAATTAATGTCTTCCATTTTCGCACTTAAGTCGGTTTCCAGTATAAGCACTTGTTTAGTTTCATAAAAGGTTTGACTGGAGTGTGTCAGTAAACAATCTAGTGCACAAGTTTCAAGAAGAAACAGGATGTGAATTAGTATCACGGTTTATACCAGCAAGAAAAGGCTTGATTAAACAAATCCTTAAAGATAGAACATAAATTCATTCTTAACTGTGAGCACTATTAGCTGATTTTTAAATAATTCAAAATTCCTAGAACAGTTTGGTTTGTTATGAATTTCGCGCAAAGCTAAACGAGGGCTATCTGCGTTAGCCGTCCCTAATTTAGCAGTGTAAGACTAGAGGGAAGGCAGCTAGTCATCACCACCCACCGCCAACTCTTGGGCTACTCTTTTACCAACGAATAGTTGGATTGACCGTCACTTTATAACACCCCCAAGGCTGAACGGGTGAGCATGTTTGGTGTGATGGTGATTCGAACCCGCGACCCGCAGATTGTGAGTTGAGCGCCCGAACCACCTGGCCTTGCCGGGCCTCACAGGAAAGACTAGAAGCTTATTTACACTTAGGGTAAATATACGCAAACACGTTTCATTATTCTAAATGAAGAAGCATATTCTATAATACTATATAATGACTCGTTTTTTTCTATCTAGATTATGTTTTTATCATTCTGAGAAATTTCTAAATAACAAAAACTGATAGTTTTAACCTGAGAGGCACCTTTCTTAGCACATGGACTAAACGTTTAGGTCAAAAGCCCTAAAGTTTCTGTATAGTTTTCCTAATTTTGAACGTTTAACCAAAGCAAAGACAGCCAGTCAGCAACACCCCCATTTACAAGGGTTTTGTCTGCTTTGAAATGAAGAACCGAATTGACCGTTACTTTTATAACATATCTAAAGCTGAAAATATTGAACATGTGCAGAGGCATAATGACACGAGCATTTTAGTCTAGACCACGCCCTATCAAATATTAAAATTGAACCTCTATGTACTTGTTAAAAATATTATTAACATTATGTTTACCAAATTATTCATTTTAGTACTCACGCAATACCTTTCATAAAAATGTATTTGGCAGAAATACATTTTTAATTATTGATGATTTAATGTTATTGATAACTTAAAATACGAGCATATGTTTTCACTATGTTTATTTTCTATTTCTGTCTTGCATTCCGGGCTTACGTTTTTATTCTCTTTCACTCTGAATGATATAAAAAAAACCTTCTTTGTGAATTCCTTAAAGATGGAATATCAGAAACATATCTATATATTACTGGTTGAGTGTGATTATTTATGACATTGAAAACCCTTGTTTTTTAACATACAAAATGATCTATTGTTGCTTTTTTTAATTATAAACAAGTTTTCAGACAAATACTCCATAATTGTTACAAATGTTGCGTATACTAGTCACCAAAAAGTACAAACATACAACATAAAGATTTTTTAAGTAAACTTAAATATCTGCTGACAAAGTAAATTAACAAATGCTAGATTACAGATAAAGGTGTAAACACGTAGGTTAGCATTTTATTTGCATTGTAGCTAATCAATAAAAAGCAGACCAAAGCTATACCCTTTTATAAATTCCTAATGGTTAACTACAATGTTATTTTAATTTGGAAAACAATCATCTGCTGTCTTAAAATAACAACTGATCATTGATCAGAACAGAACTACAAAGTTGCATTATTTCATGCTGAGATACTTTGATTAAAGGAGAAAGTAGAAATAAACAGTGTCGTGATCCCTCTATTAGGTACATCTTTATTTAGTATGTTTGATGACATCTCAACCATAGTGGACATTTGTTTGATCCCTCTATTAGGTACATCTTTATTTAGTATGTTTGATGACATCTCAACCATAGTGGACATTTGTTTGATCCCTCTATTAGGTACATCTTTATTTAGTATGTTTGATGACATCTCAACCATAGTGGACATTTGTTTTTGTGATACACCACAATAAGAATGAAAGTGAGTAGTTTTCAAGAAATACAGATTGGCATATGCGGATAAAATAAAGTAAAACGTTGAAATTTAATGAATCTGAAGTGATTCACCACTAATGGTGTAGAGCGACATCACAAATTACAGAACAGTATAACAACTTTAAACTTATATTTACTGCTTCTAGGAACCTTTGGTATTGGTAAGTATAATAAAAATAAAGCAGTACCAATAGTACTAAATAAAAGCAATATAAGCATTGAAATGTCAACAACTATTTTAAATACAACTTTCAAATAGTCTTAGGAACTTGTTTTAGGTATTGCGTTTAGATACAGTAGGCAGATAATGAAACTCTTCATTATCATTGGGTTTCTGAGTCATACCTTCCATACTGCTAGAGCCGATCTGATACCTCTATTGTTCAGCATCTAACCTTCAGGCCAGATGCCAAACATATTGATAAATGTATAAACATTAGATGTGAATTTTGGGCGATATGTCAGCTCAAAAAGGAAATTCACCAATTTAATTCTTACAAATGAACTCGTTTGTCTTCTATCACACGAATTACATGATATTCAGTTCGATCATGTTCGAGACAATTAAGCCATTTAACTCTACACATTTGATTACATTGATGTATGGTTGATCATTCTAATAAGAATTTCGTCATCGAAGTAACTAACAAAATTAAAGGTACACTACTGACAATCGGATATTCTGAACCAATTTCTTTAACGTTGTAGAAATGTATGTGAAACGTTGAACATTTTTCCGCCGGGTCTTAAACAATTCAATCAAATCGCTTCCTTCTAATTAATTCTAAACTTAAGTCCAACCTTTTGATTTGTTTAAATATTAGAAAGAAAAACTCTTCACTCTGGTACGATGTGCTTGTTATAGCCACTTTTTTACACGAAAAACTCCGGTTGAATGTATATGAACAATGTAAATTATTTGATTTGTACATAAAGTCACGGCACACTTGGGCTCGGACAACATATTATGTAATTTTCCTGCTCAACCACCATATGATTACTACATTCAAAATTAAAATATATCCAATGCTTTCTCAACTACTAAAAAGATTAGGATAAGAAAATTGCAAGTTGCCGTGTGATAGAAAGGTATTTAGAAGATAAACTTTCTTGTTAATACATGAAGGAGGCCAGACATGTCCTGATAGTTAGGGCTCTCAACTCACAATATGCGAGTCACGGGTTCAAATCCTGTCACCGAATCAGCTCGCTCCTTCAGCCGTGAGGGGTTATAATGTGACGGTCAATACAACTTAAAGAGTAGGCCAAAAGTTGGCGGTGGGTGGTGTTGACTATCTTCATTACCTCTAGGCTATCATTTCTACATTAGGGACGGCTAGAGCAGATAAAACGCAAGTAGCTTTACTCGAAATTCAACAACAACATCTGTTTACGCAAAATTCAACAACAACATCTGAAGAAGAAATAGATCATTACAACGATGAAAACTAAACATACCTGTAAAATAAAGCAAATATTGATCATTCAAGTATTGTACAACACGAACCAGGACGAAAATCAGATTCGTCACGGTATCTCAAGTTTTTTGTACAGGTGAACTTGATAGGTGTAAAAAGGTTCCTTTAGAACTAATATTACCTGTAAATCAACACTACCACTGCTGTTTTCACATTAGATAGGGGAACCTCTACAGCTTTTGTTCTCAAGTAAAGAATACTTGTATCTCTGTAGTCGGTCCTTCTGCTCTCATTCTCTGTACCGTATTGAATTAGGTATTGCTAGCCTCTCTCTCACATGCTCAAACAACCAATTAATAGGCTTATTTTTCGATAGCGACAGCAATTCAGTCACATTCCGTCAGTCTGTCAACCTCTTTTTTATTGTCTGCCAGTCGCTCAGTTGTCACGAATGTGCTCATTTAAAAAACTTATGACTAGAATAGGGCGTACAAGAAGTTCCACATTTTACTGATTTCAGTCTCACGGGAGTAACTTTCTATATAAACTAAATATGTTATACGTATTCAGATAGGTGCCAACAAGTATGAAGATAACTACGATTACGATGACAAGAAAATTAATTAATCATAGAAGAGTTACTCTAGCACTCACTAATGCAACTGGAGTCTTTATGTTTTCTATCTAACGTAATAAAGTATACTTATGTATGTAATGGTGTCTTAGTAATATATAAAACATTACATAGAAGAGTTTGTTTGTTTTGGAGCAAAACCACGTTGGGTTATCTGCTATATCCAACACGAGAAATTGAGCCCCAGATTTTAGCGTTCTAAGGTATTGCTAGTACTGTGAATTGTTGGGAGGATGTAATTATTAAAAACTCATATTTCTACAGATTTATTATAAGTAATACAAACACTTAGTTTAACAGAAGATAATTTCATTTGATTGTAAGTACACTATACAGCTAATAACACATTTATGAAGAGTTTTATAAAACAATAGACAAATTATGATATTAATGTAGTTTATAGATAAGTAATTCGTCCTTAAATTGAAAAGTAAAGAAATTGAAAGAAAATGTGTTAAATCGTTCTCTTTGGAAATAAATATGTCACTTGCCTTGTTGTTTAATGTACTATTACCATGAGGTTGATATTTTCTTCCAATCAATCTCCTAAATACTATACATTTATTAGACGAATTGAAGTTTAAATTCGGAAATGCTTTACTTTTAATATACCTTTTACAAACAACGTGTTAACGCAGGACAAAACATATTACAAACTGTTCTTTTTTTCTTTTTGCAGCTCAGGCTAAGACATTTTCATTTTCTCACACTAAAGTTTCTAGTTTAGAAACTGACATATCTTGCGAAGCAATGGGTCTGTTCCCCCAACCTGATATCTCCGTTAGCGCAATCCTCCCCAAACACTTCAAAGATCCATTCTTACAAGCACCTAAGAAATTCGTCAACATTACAAAAGAGCTTTATTCCATTTGGATCAGTGGAACCTTTAATCAAAAGGATTTTCCGAAGACAGATAAAATAGTTCTACAGTGTGAAGTGCATATTCCAGAAACAGATTACAAAGTGTCCAAAGAACTATCCTTTTACACAGGTAACATGTTTTACTCCATATAATATTTATTTCTCAGTTTTAAAGAAGATTTCTAGTATAGTTCCACTGATAAAAAAAACTGTTTCCTTTCTAAACAATTAAATCGATTCTGTTTACCAGTAAGAATACATATATGTATATGCATAACTAAGTGAGTAAAGAAATCTAGCTTGCGTCTATATGGATCAATTTTAAGTTTTTCTAAACCATGAATCAATTAAAGCATATATAACTTTAGAAGGAACTAATACACGTTTTTTAATATACGTACACTGTACTGTGTTTTTCTATTTTCTCGAAATTTTGGAGAAATTTATTATATATTTTTTATTCTTATGGAAGCGTAATTTATTTCCTGCAGATTATGTGAGAACTATGAACACAACTAGAGGCTGTTTATTCGGAAATTTCCTTAGATAAAAGATTTTAGATTCTAATTATTGAAGTTGATCATAGTGAAAGCATGCATGACTTCCCACTAAGTGCTACCAAAATAAAAGAAACTCGATTTGGGAATACGTGACATTAAAAAAAATATATAAACATAGTGGAAAAGATTGTAATGAATTACTTCTCAACTGTGAAATTAAACTACTAGAGTCTTTATAAAGGTTCGTTGGAGAACATAAAACAGCAAATGTTTTCACAAACGATCAACCTGATTTTACTGTTTTAATCCGAATATGCTGTTGGATTCAACGAGTGAAAAACGCAATTTCTAATTTACCTAAAACAAATAAACTTGAAATGGATGGTTTGTAACATTTTATTCTTATAGATAGTTTTCCATATACAGCTGAACAGAAATTCTATCTAAATAGTTCCTACTTTATACTAGCGCGAAGTTTGATTACAAGTAATTACATCACTAATTAAACTTTAATGAACTCTCGATACACAAGCAAATTTAATTAAACTTATGGTATACAGTCAGGTATAGAGAAAACTATTTTCCTGTTTAACAAAAAGCTTAATAAGGGATATATATACCCTTTCAAAATAAAAATCTGATAAAAGATTATGCACATCTCATGATTTTTATTTTGACAGAAAATTGATTATATTTATACAGGTTTCGATATTTTAAATAATCCAAATCTGAAATATGATACGTATAAGATTTTTTTTTCAAAATCCAACACAGCGATTTGAATTTCAATTATTTTACTTCCAGAAACTACATTTAAAATAATGTTAAGCTGTAGTGAGTGATCTAGCTCTATTGGATATGTTACATAATGACTGCTTCCAATTATTTAAACTCTGGTTGAAGTAAATCTGTACTGGCTTCATCAAAACAAAAATCCATCTTACTTTCAAACACGCTTTGTAACTTAAAACTATTTTGGAGATATAATGAAAATACAACAGTATTAACTGTATTGAAACATAAGATAAAGATGAAATATTCTTGGCAGTCTCGCGTGTTTTTTTTTATTGTAAATTAAGTAATCAGATTGGATCAACTGTATACTGTAATTCCTTACACCCTTTTCTTTCTGCAGGACTTGCAACAGTCAATAAAGGTAAGACATCAAATTTATTATTCTATTCTCTAATAGAATTCCATATGTAGTTCATAGAAATTCATTAAATTTTACAAACAAAACAAAGTCAGGTGTACATACAAATATGGATTCATAAGCTATCCATAAGTATCTTTCTCTACATATGTACCTTTGTAACGTTTCTAAGGACTGAAACATGAATTTATCTTTTATAGTCAATTCTAGTTTAAAAATGGGCCGTACTCCTGGGAATTTTTTGGTTAAGAACTACAACTTTAATGAGTACCTTTAAACAGTTGAATAGTTAGGATTATTCTGGATTATTATTGTACATCTCGCAATTATTTTCAGTTTGATCAGAGTTTTGAACATATCAATCATCAGAAATATCCAAACCTTCTGTGGTGTATTTGAAAAACAATGTATGATAATAGTTCATTCATTTTGACTTCCAGTTTACTAAAGATCTTCCTGAAAGATGACAACTTAGGAGGTTTTATTACATACAAAATTAATGTTAATATTATTTCGATTATAACGATAGGCTATGACAGCAATGTTACTATGTAAATTTTAACTCTTTATATCAAAATTATACAATGTTCTTTGCTCTTGACTTAATATATATGAATTGTGCATGGCTAATTCAAAAAGGCTCTCTCTCTATATATATATATATGTACATATATATGTGTGTGTGTGTGTAAAAATAAATTTTGGTTGTGTGAAATAATTGCAATATAATAATTAATCGACAATCACTCCCAATTTTTTTATTAACTCAAGAATTAAAAAAAAAACGTTTGCATGCTAACAAAAAAGATGCCCGTGGTGGGCAGAGCACAGATAGCCCATTGTGTAGCTTTGTGCTTAATTACAAACAACAACAACAAAAAAGATGAAAATAACTGCGAGTGTTTTTATTGTTATTTACATTTCCCGACTTTATGGCTACGAAAAATGATCACTTACACAATCGTTATAAAATATATTAAGTTGGTTTAAGGTTAATTGTGCTTTAAATAAATTAATTGATTTATTAGACTCAACGAAATCACATTTGTATACCCGAATACCATCATAGAGTATGCTTTCCTATTTATCGATGGGGGTACTATATTTTAACGCTTAATCATAATAATCGATCAGAGTAGCCCAAGAGTTGACGATTGGTTGTGTTGACTAGCTGCTTTCCCTCTAACCTAACACTTCAGATCAGGTAGCACAAATTTCTATCGAGTAGCTTTGAGCGAAATTAAACAAACTGTCCGTGTTTGTTTATATATTTATTATTACTTAGCTAACAACAGCTTTCAAAACAGACCGCCCCTCAGTGGCACAGCGGTATGTCTGCGAACTTACAATGCTAGAAACCGGTTTTCGATACCCGTGGTGGGCAGAGCACAGATATCCCATTGTGTAGCTTGTGCTTAATTACAAACAAACAGACTAAATATAGATTTGAAAGGCATGTTTACACAGGTCTGTTTTGTTTGTTTGTAATTAAGCACAAAGCTACTCAATGAGCTGTCTGTGCTCTGCCCACCACGGGTATCGAAACCAGCATTCTAGCGTTGTAAGTCCGCAGACATACCGCTGTGCCACTGGGGGGCATATTTAGTCTGACACAACTTACTTTCAAGGACATTTCAAATAGTTTCACAGATTAATTGGTTTAAAATCATGTTTGAAGATGTACCAACAAGTATGTACTTAAAGAGATAACAAAGAGGGAAGTTGCTGATGTGTTCAGGACAACAAATTTTAAGGCTTAGAATATATTAAAAACTCTGCTTTTTGTTATTAAATAGATTTTGGTACAAATTAACACTTCACAATATGGGGTAATGTCACACTTGAATCGTTACCTTCTCCAAAATTTCAATCGTAAGTAGTTATATAAGTAATAGAGAATACTTAAGTGAACAAAAACGTATCAATATACATTTGTTGTTGTGGATCTTATAAGTGCTGATGTAAATTAAGAGTTAAGCAAGAAATTGGGTAAAATAATATTTAGAAAGGGGAGTAATTTTCAAAAATACTTGCATATATTTTAATAATAAGTACAAACTTACATCAGGAATACATGACCAGATTGAGCATATTTCTTAGTCTAGCCAGCGATTCTTTTTGCATGACATCATAATGTATTCTAGCTGCCTGTATTATTTTGTATGTCTTGCATTCTAGGTTTTGTTAGTTCTACCATAACAATCCATTCAGTAAAATAGTGTACCTAACGTGTAAGGTAGTCTTCCATAAGTAATCCGTTCAGTAAAATAGTGTACTTAACGTGTAAGGTAGTCTTCCATAAGTAATCCGGTCAGTAAAACAGTGTACCTAACGTGTAAGGTAGTCTTCCATAAGTAATCCGTTCAGTACAATAGTGTACTTAACGTGTAAGGTAGTCTTCCATAAGTAATCCGTTCAGTAAAATAGTGTACCTAACGTGTAAGGTAGTCTTCCATAAGTAATCCGTTCAGTAAAATAGTTTACTTAACGTGTAAGGTAGTCTTCCATAAGTAATCCGTTTAGTAAAATAGTGTACTTAACGTGTAATGTAGTCTTCCATAAGTAATCCGTTCAGTAAAATAGTGTACCTTACATGTATGGTAATTTTCCATAAGCAATCCGTTCAGTAAATAGTGTGCATAACGTGCAAGGTAGTTTTCCACAAGCAATCCATTCAGCAAAATAGTATACCTAACATGTATAGTAATTTTTCATAAGCAATCCGTTCAGTAAAATAGTATACCTAACGTGTATTGTAGTTTTGTCAAAAGCAATCCGTTCAGTAAAATAGTATACCTAACGTGTATGGTAGTTTACTTTTTATATTTCACCATATTTGGTACATGAGAGGTATTGTTGAATAACCTAAATATAAAAAATAAATTTTTTTTCGTACAAGACTAGTGTTATATTATTGATAACTTAAAACAAATATATGGTTTAGCCTGAAAATAAAATGTTATCTTTAGTAAATTCGCCAATAATTCAGTCAAAAAATTCAATTGTTGTCAATCATCGGACAAAAATTAAAATATTAATTTTTATTGTT